AGGCTCGCACATCGATGAAGAACGCTGCGAACTGCGTTACGTAATGCGAATTGCAGGATTCAGTGAGTCATCGAAATTTTGAACGCATATTGCACTTCCGGGTTAGTCCTGGAAGTATGCCTGTATCAGTGTCCGTACAACAAACTTGGCTTTCTTCCTTCCGTGTAGTCGGTGGAGGAGATGCCAGATGTGAAGTGTCTTGCGGTTGGTTTTCGGACCGACTGCGAGTCCTTTTAAATGTACTAAACTGTACTTCTCTTTGCTCCAAAAGTGGTGGCATTGCTGGTTGTGGACGCTGCTATTGTAGCGAGTTGGCGACCGGTTTGTCTGCTGCGGCGTTAATGGAGAAATGCTCGATTCGTGGTATGGTTGGCTTCGGCTGAACAATGCGCTTATTGGGTGATTTTCCTGCTGTGGCGTGATGGACTGGTGAACCATGGCTCTTTAGCTTGGCATTTGAATCGGCTTTGCTGTTGCGAAGTAGAGTGGCGGCTTCGGCTGCCGAGGGTCGATCCATTTGGGAAATGTTGTGTACTTCGGTATGCATCTCAATTGGACCTGATATCAGGCAAGATTACCCGCTGAACTTAAGCATATTAATAAGCGGAGGAAAAGAAACTAACAAGGATTCCCCTAGTAACGGCGAGTGAAGCGGGAAGAGCTCAAGCTTAAAATCTCCGTGCAAGTTTTGCGCGGCGAATTGTAGTCTATAGAGGCGTGATCAGTGTGGGCGCTTGGGGCAAGTTCCTTGGAAGAGGACAGCATGGAGGGTGATACTCCCGTTCATCCCTGAGTTGCTCGTGCGTACGATCCGTTTTCTTTGAGTCGCGTTGTTTGGGAATGCAGCGCAAAGTAGGTGGTAAATTCCATCTAAAGCTAAATATTGGTGCGAGACCGATAGCGAACAAGTACCGTGAGGGAAAGATGAAAAGAACTTTGAAAAGAGAGTTAAAGAGTACCTGAAACTGCTGAAAGGGAACCGAATCGTTTCCAGTGTCTATAATCCGTGGTATATTTCATTGGCGAGTGTGTGCGTGCGTGTGCTGTGGCAGCGGCTTTTTTGGCTGCGCTCGGCGTGTGTGCTGTGTGTGCTTGCTGGTGCCCTGTGCTGCGGTGGGACGTCAAGGTCAGTTCGTATGCTGCGGGAAATGGCCGCCGAGGAGGTAGGGCTTACGCTTGCGTTTGTCTGTTATATCTTGGTGGACGAGTAGTCGCGGTTGGGACTGAGGTGCCTACAACGTGTTTTTGAGTGGGCCTGTGTCTCTGTGTGCGCCGTGTGCGGATAGCTTGCTATGCGTGTGTGGTTGTGTGTGGATTGATGTGGGTTTTAACTTGTTGCCGTTCGGGACGTTGACGAAATGGAGCGATTTGACCCGTCTTGAAACACGGACCAAGGAGTCTAACATGTGTGCAAGTGTTAGGGTGTGGAAACCCCAGCGCGAAATGAAAGTGAAGGGCAGCGTAAGTTGTCTGAGGTAGGAAATGCTGCGGGCTTCGGTCTGCGGTGTGGCACTATCGACCGATCATGAACCTTCGTGGTGAAAGATTTGAGTTTGAGCACATATGTTGGTACCCGAAAGATGGTGAACTATGCCTGAA